TTTGAGATAAATTATTTTTAGTCTATTCAATAACACCAATGCCTTCCCGTAGAGACGAACCATTGGTTTAAAACTTTTGTATCTAAATATCCATTTTTTGTACCCATATATCCATATTTTGTGTAAACTTTTGGAATTATATTACCTATATTTTATGGTCCTTTGGAAAAAATCCTGACAAGGGTTTATAGTACTACCGCGTTATATCCTCTTATATATAAATAGGCAATCATGTTTACTTTACACCCCTTTTATGGCTAAACTATACTTCTAAGGTACAAACAATTACATATCATTAGAAAGGTTGTCTGATGCTGATGTGCAGACAAATTTTAAACCTAAAAAATCAGTTCAAATGTGTTGTGTTATTTTGTATTGTGTTGTGTTGTGTTGTGTTGTGTTGTGTTGTGTTGTGTTGTGTTGTATTATGTTATGTTATGTTATTCTGTTATTTTTTTTCAACGCATTTCCCCTAAATTCACTTCAATCAACTCAATTAAACTCAGCTCGGCTCAGCTCAGCCCACCGAAACTACCCTTAATTTAAAAGGTTGAACTTCAACCGCTGGGCGAATACTAGTAGAAATAAAATGAGAAAGTTAACAAAACTCGCGAACTACAGAAAGATTATTCTGATAACTTTGACTGCAAGTCGGCACGGATTTCCGTGGTCCAAATTGCATAAAATAGTACTCGGATAATTTTTAAGACAAAACCAATAAAATGAGAGTTATGCGTTAAAAAAAAACAAATTTGGTTTTTTGGGACAGTCTAATTACATACACTTCCACATTTTCAAAATCAAATTAAATTAACGATACCAATTCTAACCTTTATGTAATGACATATCTCCAGAAAAAAAATTACTTTTGACAGTTTTTGCACCAACAGCTTAAAATTGTTGATATTGGCGCATACTGGGATCGTGAAAACCGTATGAAAACGTTTTTCCATTTTTTTGTCGTGCTGATCTTGTTCGTTTTGGGAACAAAAATCAAAATCGGTGTTCCGAAAAAATTGCGAAAGTTGAATCTATTTTTTATTGAGCGGCTGCTCCATCCGAGTAATATAAAAACTCTTTTTTTTTTCTTACATACACTGAGGGAAATAATGCATAGCATCGTTTAAAAATGTTCGTATTTAAAAATAATATTTTCATACAAAAATTTATTACGCACGTATTTGACTGTTCATATCTTATGGCGTTTTCGTGTCTACAAAAAATGTTGCCTTCTCATAGCCCTTTCCTTACTAGTTGTGCGAAGAAGGCAATAAGAAGGCAACATTTTTTGGTGGAAAAGAAAACGCCATTAGTATGTACATTAGAGTGGTCCAAAAAAATAAAGTCGGAGTTTTAATGCCGGCACACCCTAGGATTGATCTATATCGAAAAAAATATACCCATATTTTTTTATTTTGAAATCAAAAAATATTTAGGGAGTGCTCAAAGCGCTCAAAGTTTTCCATGTATTTTATATGAAAAAAAAACATTTTTCGTAGAAATGGTATAAAACTCTTAAAAATCAATATTTTTTAATCGGAAAACTGTGGTTCTCTTCAGGAGACTTCCAGTATTAATATCCAATTGTTTATTTAACTATTTTTTATGATTAAAGATTTTTCCATTGCATTTTCTAGGGGTTTTGGAGGACCTATAAAATATAGTTACTATGAAAAAATGGTTAAAAAGACAATTGCATATTATTACTGGGAATCTCCTGAAGATAAGAAAAGTTTTCCGATCGAAAACTGTTGATTTTCAAGAATTCTACACTATTTCTACGAAAAGTTGTTTTTCCGCCATATAAAATACATCGAAAACTTTGAGCGCTTGAGCACTCCCTATTTTTTTTCAAAATAAAAAAATAGGGGTATATTTTTTTCGATATAGAACAATCCTAGGGGGTGCCGCCATTAAAAATCCGACCTTATTTTTTTTCCATCCTTTTTTGGACCACTTTAATGTACATATGTATATGTAAGTGTACATGCGCATCTCCAGCATGCAGAGCGGTGACATCACACACAAACATACATAGTACATCCCCGCAGAAAAAAAAATATCAATTGATAAAAACTAACCCACTTGAAGTTAGCATTTTTGCGGGATTTCTATAAAATATATAACTTCTAGTTAGCTACAAAAAGCTAGCTTGAAACTAGTTAACAAGTAATGCAGGAGATTATGTATTTTCTTTAAACGCCTTTCTGTTTAAATATCCTGCACTTCGCAAATACTTTTGCGAATTGAAGACAAATAAAAGGAAGCTCGAAATTTCATATTATCATTTTTTGAAGTTACGTCTGACGGAGTTCGAATATGGTACCACGTACAGCAGAATATGTAAATAAATATGAAATGTATTAAGATAAACAAATAAATAAAAATAAAAAATATATTTTGTTTTTCCTATTGATATTTTATGTTCAAAAGTAGTTAGTTACAAGTTAGTTACATCAAATGCAGAGGTAACCACCCTTGCCTTGAAGTCCGTGCACTGGTGACAAGAAGAGAATTAATTAAAAACTTAATATACACAAATATTTTTGATTTTTATAACTTTTTATTTCTTGCTTTTATTATGCAAGTCGAGAATAATTAAAATTTTTACTTTTTAACCTGCCAAGCGGGGGCTCGAAAGACTATAAAAAAATGTTTTTATGTGATTCTGCCATTACTAAAATGGACCTTAATTTTTAATATGAAATATATATATCTCCCAAACTCCCAAAATTTTAATTTTAACTACCACCACGCGCAAACAATTCAGAAAAAACTAAAAGAATTGGGTTTTCAGGCCCCAAGTTAACAACAAGAGCATGGTGTGATAAGGGTTAAGGTAATAAATCAAATTAATTTTCTCAACTTAATCCCAACTGTTTTGATGAAAATCTAAACATAACTAAAAACGCAACTTGTATAATAGTTACAACCTTTCTGGCTTTAATCCAAGTGACATCTTCGTTCATGAGAGACAATACACATCTTATCTATGCATGTATTTTGTTTACTATACTTCATCTAATAGCATTGACACATTAAGTTAAACTTTTGGCAAATAAAATTCATCTTTTGGCAAATAAATTTAGTCTTTTGGCAAATAAATTTAATTTTTTGACAAATAAAATTAATCTTTTGGCAAATAAATTTAATCTTTTGGCAAATAAATTTAACCTTTTGGCAAATAAAATTAATCTTTTGGCAAATAAATTTAATCTTTTGGCAAATAAAATTAAACTCTACTATAGTACTAAACAGTGTTTGAAAAAGTAAAAAATACACTAAAAAACTGCTGTTGCTGTGCTAGGAAAGCATTTTTTTTTAACTTTTGACGCTTAGCTTTACTGCGCCAATATCAAGAGTTAACCTCCAGGATAGCTGAAAAGTGTTTTTCTGTTCTGTTGATTTGACTGCTCACTTTCAAACAGTTCTGTCACAGCATGGTCTCAAATATTCGTAAAACTATCTGGCGCATTTTATTTCAACCAAACCACGCATTATGGCCAAATGGGATAAACAACCATCTAAAATGCTACAAATCTTGAACACCCTTAATATATTTTCAAGCGAAGGTACAAAAAAAAAATTATTTATGTGCATACGCACATATGTACATTGGGGTGCTCATCGAAAATGTTTTTTTTTGGAAATTTCAAGACCCTACCCTCTAATTTTATTCGTTTTTATGAGAAATATTATTGCCTATTTTTATAGATATTTTAAAGGTCATTTAGGAGTCGCTACCTGTCGATTTAGGTTAAAAAATACGGTTTTGTAGATTTATGAGTTTTTGAATGACTATTTTTGACTCGATTTCAAAGATCGAATGTCATCTGAGAAGAGGATATATAGGCCTTTGAAATGGTATTTAATAATCTATTTTCGGACTTGGCTTGTTGGGATTTTTTATGGCGTAAAATAAAAAAAAAACCCATATTTCAAAATATGTAGTACTGTCTAAAATTAAATCTATTTTCAAATAAACTGATACCTCATTAATTGCAATCGCAATCCGACTAAACCGAATCCCCCTAAATTTATTTGCCAAAAGATTAATTTTATTTGCCAAAAGTTTAACTTAATGTGTCAATGCTATATATCAACAAATAAGTTCTTAATCTATGTACATATGTATGTACATTAGAGTGGTTAAAAAAAACTCTTTTTGGAAATTAATAAACGCTACGTCAAAATATTGTTATTTGTGATAAAAAAAGACATGCATTTTTATTAAAAAACAAAGCTTTTGTCGAGGTCGTGCCTGTTAGTTTTTTTATAAAAACTCTAATGTTCTAAATTTTTTTATTTTCGTGATATGTTAATGTGCAGCTAAAAATTTTGTTTATGTGCAATTACTATGGAATTATTGGTGAATATTCCCTTAATTAGTTGGGGTCATAATTTTTTTTTAATGTGTATCTTTTTTTTTTAATTGATCACCATATTGGATCCACCATTTTGAATTTTGAAAATTTGACTTCGGATTCGCAATCAGCGAGCTCAAAACCTCCCCTGTGTCGCGTCTCAAACAAATCCAATCATCATATTTTTTTTTAATTTATCTTCATAGTGGATTCGTAATTAGCAACCCCTGGAAACCCCTGGTAACGAGTTCCAAACCATGACAGTGCGTAAAACGTTTTAATTTTAGCATTCTATTTTCGAAAGCATATTTTCGGGTACTAGGCCCATTCGAATTTTTTTTTTTTCAAAATAAATAACACAATCCTCTTTTTTTAACACAAATAAAAATATTTTGAGGTAGCGTTATGAATTAAAAAAATTTAATTTTTGAACCACTCTAAAGTCGAGGCCACGCAATGAGCGGCAAGCGGCTGAGCGGCATTTTTGTAATGCCGCTCAGAGCATGGCCACTTCAATAGTATTTCATATGTTTTAATTAAGCCGCTCAGCCACTCGCCGCTTTGCCGCTCGCTGCGTGGCCTCGGCCTAATGTGCATCCATATTTCATTCAAAACTGCTTCTACGCCCTCATTTACAAACTTTGACACACATGTATGAATGTATGAACAAAAATATAAGTACATTCACATTAAATACTGAAAAAAAACTAAGTCCGCTCTGGTACTGGCGTCCAATAAACGTTATCAATTGGCTTAAAACCCAACTTCTCGAACATGGAACGTGACGCCGCATTCTCAAATATGACAGGGGCGGTAACTTCAAGCCCTTTCGACGCAATCAATTTGGATATTTCGCTAACAACCAAACTGCCTAGCCCCAAACGTTTATGGGTATCGACTACTTGCACTAAACCCAAAGCACCAATTGGTAATCTGCAAAATTAATAGAAAGTTCAGATATCATATTCAACTAATATTTCTTCATCCTTCCAAACCTCAAAGACCAGGCAACTAAATTGCCTGCGCTATCGAAAACTCCAACGCTGTCATTGTAAGCAATCATGCGTTCCACAAAAATTACTGTACCAGGCCCCCGATGTGGCCAAACACTGTTCACTTGTTCGGCATGTTTCGTTTCTAAGCGACGTAAAGTGAAACCTTCAGGTACACTAAAATTAACATCAATTGAATATGAGAAGTTTTAAAGTTTTTAGCAGCCATCTTCTTACTGCACAGGCAGTTGTTTTGCCTTCTCCATGTCGATATGATACCAGGCAGTGCCGTCTGCAAGAAAATTCTCCTTTTTCAAACCTTCAGCTAAAACGAATTTTTCCACAGTGGGTATCAGCCGTTCGGGATAGGCAAATATATTCAGATTCCCTTTGTTATTCAGCATCTTAAGCGCAGTTAGCAAACGTTCCTGATTTTCGCTTAGTGTATTGATGAAAACTTGGTTGTATGGCTTTGTGTGCTATAGCGAAAATATTTAAGTATTAGTTAGCTTGATACGATGTCACTTCATATTTGAAATTGCAATAGACATTTAAATTAAAACGAGATTTTATCTCTTTGTTCAATTATTAAGTTTTGTAACTGCTCAAACAACATACATACATACATACACACGCATATGTACTTACAATGGCTACATAAGTACCGTCCCTTCGCCAGTCTCCATCCAAGGAATGTATTTTAATATCGAGCTCTTCATTTTGCGTCTTCCATTCAATTAAACACTGAATTGTATTATAAGCGCAAGTAAATTTCTTTTGTCCCTCGTAAAGATCACGCAACTCAGGCCATTCCGTTTGAGGAATTTCCACTAAAGCATGCAACATGATACCCGTCTAGTGCAGTGCTAACGCGCAGCGAGTTCAAGCAAAACTATCAATGCAATGTTTCGGCCTTTCAGAGAGACCTCTCAAATTGTTTATAAGTATGTACATTAGGGTGGTCAAAAATGCACGGGAGAGAGTAAAGTTGGAACTGAGCTACATACATGTTAGTTTGCCACTGCGTTTTCCTGTTTTATTTATAACTAAATGCAATGAACAAACTGCATAATGTTGTAGCGCAATGCATACCCTCTTGAATCACTGATAATTATTACGATTATAAACGTAAAAAGATGATTGTTTTCTTGTGAATGTGTAAATACTTGAATGTAGATGTAAACAAAATGTATGTATGCACGCGGAGAGAATTTTTTTTTTCTTAAGCCAAAGCAGAAACCAAAAAATCGAGACTGGTTTTTGAACTAAAAAATATATTCTTCTAATCAAGAAAATATGTAAGTATTTGTTTGTTTATTTTCAAAATAAACAATAAAATATTTTCTTGATTTAGTCTTGTTTAAGACTAAATTAACTAAAAAAGCATTTGTTTAAATTAAGAAAAATTTTCTATCTCAACGCCTGATTCTGTGCACTTGATAAATTAAAATTTTTTATAACTTTTAAATTTTTACTTATTTATCAAGAATTTATCTTAATAAATTATCAAGATTGAAAATGCTAATGACAAGCGTTTACAAGTTTAAATTTTATGTGAAAATTATAAATTTTGTATATTCAAAAATTTATTTACATACATATATTATGCAAATACTGCATGTGCCGGCAACGAAAACAGCTGATACCATTAGGTCGCCTTTACAATTTGGGTGACCATATTTAGAAAAAACTAAGCCATATTTAGAAATGAGGAAATGATAACAAGTATAAATGTAAAACAAAGAGAGATTATTATAATTTATAATTAAGATTTAATGAATCCACAACTATATTTTTCAAACAACAAAAATATTTCGTGTTTATGTGGTTTTCTTCTAGAAATTTGAAAGCAAATAAGAAATACGGCCACCTTTGGCACGTACACCTGTCACCGCCCAGCAGGGAGATAGAAATAAATACATCGCGTTAAACGACGCCGAACGAGCTTCGCATTTCGCTTTGGCTGTGCTCAATTTCATATGCCGGCGGGTGTTCTAATTTTGACTGCGGGAATTTCGCTGTGGTGAGTTCGCCGTTCGCCGGCTTTGTATTTCAGCTATAATGTCGATGTTCCTACCTACTCGGCTACAGCAGTCAAAAGCTTTTTTGCTATTAAATTTATATATTTCATATGTGACAATGAAATCAGTTCACCTCATGTTGAAGGCGTAGATCTTTTTGAACCGTCTTCCAGGTTATCAGTTCGTCGGAATATTTTTTTTTTTTGTTATGTATGTTACCGCATAACTTTGGGCCACGTCAACCGATTTCGATAATTCATTTTGCATTAATAGTATCTCAGAGGTGGTCCCATACTAATCTTGTTTAGATCCGATCATGAAATATATATCGTCGCTGCGCCAGCAAAAACAGTTATGTGATTTTTTATTGCATATTTTATTAACACTATCTATTGCCCCCATTACTGCATTTGCCGTTCTCTTATATATAAGATATATATATCTTTTGGTTTAGAACTGACAAAAAACAACTATGTGCCCGCAGTACTAGAAATACATACTGAGAAATATAACTGTTGCTGATCGCAGGCGAATCTGATGAGTGTGCTTTGATTTCGATGTAAAAAATAATTATAAACCAACTAAATACATAGATACATACACATGTATGCACATACCACTTACACTACATAGATTCTACTATTTAATTTGATCGCTTGCAATTGGAATTCAACAATTAACAAAGGTGAAAAGTATGGAGGTAGACAGCGTCCACTCTACATTAGAAAATTTACTCAATCCACCGATATATTCACTAATGGACTACATAAGTCGTACGCGAAAGGCGAGGTCATCACATCCTTATATTGTTAATTATTTAGAGCAGGGGTTCCCAAACTTTATTTACCGCGGCACCCTTGTTGTGCTAAAAAAAAATCGCCGCACCCGTGCTCTTCAAATGTCTTCCAAAACAAGAAAACACAATGCAAACTTCATGCTCCTTTAGCTTAAAAACGAGGACTGAAATTGTTTTGATGATTTCATTATTTCATTTAAGATTATTGGGAGCTTTCACAATTTTACCCTGAAATCATTTGACGCTGACTTCACAAACCGGAGAAGGTTATCAATTCGTCGGAATATTTTTTAGTAACAGTTATTTTTTTTATGTATGTTACCGCATAACTTTGGACCACGTTAACCGATTTCGATAATTCTTTTTTTAGAGGAAAAGTGGTTACCTTACAGGCGGCTGCATTCTAATTTGGTTTAAATCCGGTCATTGGATCATGAAGAGATATCCGATAACCCTTAATTTGTATATGAGAATTGAAGCCGGTTTTCTTTTTTGCTTAAAAATTATTTGTTTATGTCAGCATTAGTTGAAAATACAGTCTCATACAGAAATGTAAAAGTCACCAGTATTTGGAATGCAATCTTGCCAACAGCAGTGTTTTCTGCATACACTTGCATCCAGAACTCTCCCTTCGTAGTATTTAATATTCAAAGTGCTGTCGTCACTGATGTCCAGAAGGTTTTCAAAAGCTTAATTTTTTATCCCAGTAGGTTTACTTTTCGGGTCACATGAAAACGGGTTTGTTATCCAGCTGTAGACATCCAAAGAGTCAATGTTGGGAAAATATTCGACAATGGTTTTTTCTAAACCTTCCAAGTAAACGCTGGTAATGCGCGTTAAAGCTAAGAAAATAACTTTTACAGCCAATTTCACGAAAGCAATTTAAGTCAAAAATTATTTAAATTTTATATGGAAATTGACAGAAAATAATAGGGGTATTCTCTGAGTCTTGCAAAGCCCTTGCATGGTGCACAGATTGCACGGTTAAAACCGGTTTTCGTATGGGACAGCTTTGCAAACCGTGCAATCTGTGCACCATGCAAGGGCTTTGCAAGACTCAGAGAATACCCCTAATAAATCATTTTCCATTTAAATTGGTGGGGAAACCGGCTGTTATCAATTTTCTTGGAGTTAACTTCGAAATTACATACGTTTCTCTAACTTACTTTGTTTACGTATGGGGTTTTCATGCAAATTGCTAGAAATTCTAAAATATGCACGTCACCAATAAAAAAAATTTCGACGTGCTTGAAAAAAAACAAAAGATGCACTTTAATTTCGCAGGCCTCTGTTATCTTCGCAGCCTTATCCAAAACGGGTTTTAAATCTAGTGACGGCATATATATATATACCAGAGACCGTACCGGTTATGCATTTTATAATAAAAGTAAAAAAATTTAAGTTATTTTTTGACTTTTATTATTTTGAGCAAATAATACCGGTTACTTCTGCTTTTTATTTTTTTAAGGCAAAAATAAAAGTTAAAATTTGCCTTTTATTTTTTTGAGCAGAAAATAACCGGTAATTGTTGACTTTTATTTTTTCAGGCAAAAACAAAAGTCAAAGTTAAAAATCAAGTATTCCAGAGCTGTGTATATAGGAATGCGATAGTTTTGAGGCTCCTACATGGATTTTAATAACCCCTATACCCAAATACCAGGGTTAGTTCAAATCTATATACATATGATGCTTTCCATTTCCAGACAACCGGTCAGGTACGAGCATGATTTTTAATTTCGACCAAACTCAAATACATTGTTTGTTGGTCCAAATAATGAGACACGTATTTTTTCTTTTGGCTCGGAAAAATTTCTCGGCCGAATTAAACGCGATTTTGTTTTTCAGGCAAAAATCAACTTTTCGAATTGACAGTGAGAATGTTTTTTTAAAATGCCCATAACTTTGTCAAAATTTAATAGATTCCAACAATGTTTTTAC